AATTTTAGTCATATTTACATAAATAATACGAATGTTTCTGTTTATTTGTATAATATGCATTTTTTAGTAAGTAATAATAATAAATAATGTTTTAATTGTAATTTAATCATTATAAGAATAGTTTCTTTAACTGTATATATATATATAAATAATATATATAAAAAAATATATATATAACATCTCCATATATAAATACAAGTTTTTGTTGAATATAAAATATTATTAATATATACCTATAGTTCACATACCTGTAATACGATAAATGATATTTTCTCAAACAAAATATTGATATCTTAAATATTTTTATTAACAGTTTTATATAATATAAGAATCTTTGTACAACATGAAAAATAAAAATGCACAGCCAGAATAGCAAATAGGTATTATTTTATGATACCTGGCAATGTTTAACAAAGCAATTTGATAACACTCTAACGAGATGTAGAGCGTTACCTTTGTGAATTTAATTTCTGTATAGTTTTAAAAATCCTCCTGGAGGCGGTTGTAACCAATTTTCTTTCGAATAAGAAATATGTTGCGTCTCGATTACATGAAACGTATAAGCATGTCTCGATTTGTCACTTTTATTTGGATACGAAAAATGTACTACTTGACCGTGAATAAGAATACAAGTCCCTTTGCTAACTGGTATTGGTCGAAAGTTACTAAGTTGATAACAAGGTGCAGGTTTATCGTATATCAATAGATCCTTAGAATCTGGATCCTTATTCCTTATATAACGTCGATGAACGCCGCTTTGATGAGAACCTGGTGCGATCCACAGACATCCATTTTCTTGAGTAGCGTCTTCCAAAGCGATCCAAAAACCAACTAGTTTCACTGGATCCGTATATAAATACGATGCATCTTGATGCATTATTACTAAAAAAAATATTTATATTTATATTTAAATTAAGATAAAATAAGAATATAATTTATATATATATATATATTTTTAATTATCAAATTATTAAATTAAAAATAATAACCTTCTGATCCGATTCCCGGATTTTTATAGATGTACATTGATTGACAAACAGCTGGTTCTTCGTAATTCAGTTGAAAAGCTGCTTCCTTAACTCTTTCATCGAAAGTGTATTTTCTAAAAGTGGGATGAAGCCAATGAAGAGCATGACCTACCTATAATTTTATTATCAGAAATAATTGATATTTACGCGAATAATTATTTTGAAATTTTTTATTTATCAAATTAAAATATATTTCTTATTTTACCTTATTAAGGCATACTCTAGGATGAACTTTTAACTTTCCATTATCGTCTAGAGCTTCGGATTCGAAGAATACACTGATCTTATTAGCACTGTCCAGAAAATATTTATCTTTGTTCTGATACAATAAATATAAATTTGAAATTTAATAAAAATTATATATACATAGAAAAAAATAAAATATTTTTTTATTCAATGTACCTGTTGCGATTCTATCGAATTAAAAATGTTTCTCTCATTTTCCGGCGGTAAATTTTTAGTAAATTCTTCCCCGCAGAATTTAAGTTCATCGATTTCTTCCGGTTGAAAGAAATCTTCCAAGACGACGAAGCCATTTTTCTCAAACTGTAAAGATTAAAACATTTTATTTCATTCGTAATGATATTAATAAATATGTATTAGATTAGATTAGATTTTCATTATTTAATAATTCCTTTTTAACTTCGATCAGTAATTATTTATGATATTATATTTTTTTATGATTAAATTATATATATATATATATATTTTATACAATTGAAAATGAATGCTATTAGTCTATAATTTATAATTTATAATTTAATATATTAATCGTTGTATCATAAACTTCTTTATAAAATACTTAAATTGTATAAGAGTATTTTCAAAATATTACTCATTGAATTATTCACTTCCGAAATTATTTATTACATCTATTCCTATTTATAGTATTCTTCGTTTGTAGATTTTAAGTTAGAGAATTTAAAGAAAGAAAAAGTTTAGATATTTTTATTTTTTATTTTAATTATAACAAATTGATTATAACAAATTATATTATAGCAATATATTAAAAAAGCTATTCTATAAACTATATTCTATAGTCTCTCTTCATAAGAATAGGTGAAAATTATTGTTTTTAAATTTTTTTATTCAAAATAAGTTTTCGAAACATCTCTCTTTCCTGTTTTTTTTTTTTATACATATACATGCATATATACGTGTATATAAAATATCAAATTATTTCAAAAAGTTCACAGGTCCGTTGAAAAATTCCTTTGGTATCACGAATGATTCAAATGTGAATGAGCGTGAATCGTCCGGCTCGGAATAGAAAGATGTGCGCGTAGGTGTTCTATTCTTCTTCGTGAATGGACACGATGTTCAGTCTTTCACCATTTCACAAAATCCGCGATTTCAAGTTACATTAGATGCTCGTCATTAGATAAAACTAAGGTTCGAATCTATTCTCAACTTCTTTTTCATTGTCGACGATCAGCTTTGATAATGCTGATAATGATCTTTTAATCATGTCATTGCACTTTGTTTATATTATTGTGAATGAAAATTTGACAAGATATCTTAGCAAAAAAAAAAAAAAAAAATATAATAATAATATTCGAGATGATACTTTATAATTCACATATTTTATGATAATTGTACATTATTTGCTAAATATTTAATATTCATTTATATGTTACAATGATTCATAACAAATTCTTTATTCTTAATCATTATTATTTTATATTTGTTAAAAGTGAATTGATATATGTATGTATTTATGCAAATTTATATTATTTTATAATTATTTCTAATAAATTAGTAATACTATTGTAACTATTGTAACTATTTCTTTTGAAAAAACATTGTAAACAAAAGTTCTTTAAACTAATCTTGGTAGCTCATTAAGGAAATTAATTTTTTTCGTTTCCTTCGTTAGAGACTTTCGTTCGAGATATATCCATTTCAAGAGGTCGTGTAGGAGGAACAAGAGCAACGTTTCGTCGTCAAATACACGAACGTAATGTGCGTTGGCCTCCCTTGGCTCTAATCGTCACCTTAACCGGAATCTAAAAATGGATCTCCGGATTGCAGGGTCGAAAGATGGCCATGGGACAACCACGTGCATCCGATTGCTTACAAATGTCTCGATTTTTTCAATTATACATTTTTATGACATATTCGTTTATTATTTATGATAATGATTAATTGTAACAATTCAATATTCTGATATATTTTCAATGAAAAAAAAATAATTTTAAAATTTTACAAAAACATTTGACTCGGATTAATTATGAATGTATGGAAAATTCTGTGAGTTGCGAATTCGTTTCATTAAAGAAATGAAGTCTATTAAATAATATATATATATATGTGTATGAATAACATAATTAATAAGGATATTAATCACAGAGATATAACTGCGTATTAATAAAACGATAAATAAATTGACAAATAAATCGTTCGATGCATTATAAATATTAAATATTATCATAATATTATCAAGATAAATAGATATTTAATTTAAACATTTTTATCAATTGTAATAAACGCATTATAAATAATATATATATATATATTGATATTTAATAATTATGATTCAGTTAAATTTCTTAATTATAAAGAAAAATAAAAAGAAAAAATAAGAATCGTCGAATAATAATAAAATTTTGTATTAAAAAATCAATTATATTAATTCAAAAAAATTCAAATATCAACCAACAAATATTTGTAAACAATTTTACAAATATCTACAGAAAGAAGATTTAATCTTTGATAAAATCATGTAAATTTCTAATCCGTTTTAAGTATAGAGAATATCTATAGAAGAAAAAAAACCTAAAAGCAATTAACGCTCCTATTCTATTATCGATTTGTTTGGGACGTGATTTACAGTAAAAGAATGCTGACCCCTCCAAAGCGATAGGTCGGGCTTGATTATATCAGTCTTCTCCGATGACGACATCGGCCATTGGTCTCTTAACTCTGATTTCGTCGCTTCGAACATAGAGACACTGTGACGACTGTCTCGATTCGCTTTTAGCGAGCCCGTATATAGCTTTGGAATCGGTCATCGGATCGTTCGATCGACAAAACAGAGTTCGATGACCTTTGCTTTAAAGAGCGATTAAAGGATCGTCATCATCCATTTTATTTCCACGCTTTTTAACTTATAATAATATCGTAAACGAATCAAAGAATGTTTCGATACTCGTGACAGTGAATGACAGAAACGAGAATGTTCGTTTTTTTTATTTTAGCGTTTGGCGTACGATCAAGATGATTAAAATTATGTGGCGTGAACATAATTTTTGATAGAAATAATCATATGATTCGTATTAAAAAATTGTATTATTTAGAAGTAGAAGAAATATGAAATATAATTTAAAAAATCGAATCGATGAAGTGCTGAAGAGAATTTGAATGAGATTTGGAACACTCGAGTATGATATTTAAAAAAAAAATCGATTAAAATACTGTCCTAAAACACAAAACAAGAGTTAAATTTCACGAATGAAATAGAGCGCATAAGAAAAAAATTAACGTTTAGAATCATGGGCTGAATTTGTACGATTTTGTTTAATTCTTAAGTTTCATAAAGAAATCCAGAATAAGCAATAAAAATATTATCAAATTTTACGGATAAAGAATGAAATTATTTTTAATTTAAACGTACAATTTAAACGTACGTTCTTGTTACGCTCAAAAAACACTTCTTTGCGAATTCCAAACGAAAAAAAATAAAAAAAATAAATAAAAGATAAATGGAAAGAGTATTTTAAAAATACAAACAGTAACACAGTAAGAAATAATTATCGTAATTTAAATGTAGTTAGATTCCACGTGGTCGCTATGGCGCGAATACAAAGCTGAACCTTGACTTTTGTTCGAGATAAAGTAACGGGGTCGTAAGCGGTTAACTCACCTGCGACCGGATGTCCTTCATACTATTATGTCCGTCACAGCCGGTCTCGGACTAGTCGGTTGAATTCGTTGTACACGAGTGAGCGTGCTCGTACGTAAGTACGTGAACGCGACTGAGCGCTACTACGAAATGACTAGGTGGTACGCGGCGAAGGCTGATGCGAAGACGGCTGACTCGGGTCGAATCGTGCGGAGTCGAGTCGAGTCGGCCGATCACGAGTCGTCGGGTCGAGTCGGGTCGGATTCGAATATGTACGCGCCAACGCATTATTGCGCTTTTCTAACGCATCAACGCAACAAAGTTGGTCCAATTTTGATCAACTTTTCATCGCGAATTACTTGAAAACTTGCACGATCCAAAGAACCGAATATGTTAAAGCGATAAAGTTTTATTGTTAATAAATTTAAAATCCTTTGTTTTGAATTATCCTGAAATCGATTTTTTCACTCACTTTTTTTTTTTGTCTTTCTATTATCAATGTTTGCTCTTAGTTTTTATTTTAAACGAGATTCAGTTATATATATATATAT